GCTTCAAGAGAGAGAGAGAGTGTGTGTGTGTGTATATTAAGAGAGAGAGAGAGAGAGAGAGAGTGTGTGTGAGAGAGAGAGAGAGATAGAGAGTTTGCGCAGGTGTGTGTGTGTGTGTGTGTGTTTGCACAGGTCACCATCTGCACGTGCAAGTTCAATAGCAACATGGCCACCCATCACTAGGACCACAGTCATCACACCGGAACCAACATGACATGATAGCATTTCGCGTCGCCACTGCACTTACGCCTGAATGCGGTCCTCTGCGTGCTTCTTCAGCGTTTCGTAGCTCTGAATGTCAACACCAAGCCGCGGGTGATACATAAGGCAATGTACAGCAGCTGCCACATCGCGCACTTCACTTACTCACCACACACCAACAAGCAAACGTCCATCATACACAACACCATCGCCCCCTCTCCACATGTATGCTGCATGAAAAGATAGCTGTATTCAACCAAGTCGCGAGTGTGCACAACAGCTGTCGCCGTGCATGTGCTACACACCTGCTGAATGTTTGCGTATGCCTCCTGCGCCTCCGTGAGTGCTTGCCGCAACTTCTCCTCGTTCTCGCGCAAGTTGTCTGCAGATGCACGTATGTGCATGTGTGTGTATGCGTGTCGATGTGAGAGAGAGTGTGTGTGTGTGTGTGTCGATGTGCAAGCTTGAGTGCGTGAGTTCATGGGGACGGATGGAACAATCAGACAAGCAACGCGTGCATCGTGATAAAGTACCACCACGCCCTCACGCGCCATTCCACAAGACACACCTGCGATTTTCTTCTGGTTCTCGTATTTCCGGTGCAGATCACTAAATGCCGTCTCTGTGGACCGCAAGTCCTGCTCGAGTGTTTCCGCGCGCCGGCGCAGCTCCTGTTGCGAACAAGTGGAGAGAGCGTGGGTGTGTGGGTGTAAGAGAGAGAGAGTGTGTGTGTGAATGTGTGTATGTGTGTGTGTGCGTGTGAGTGAGTGAGAGAGTGTGTGTGAGTGAGTGAGTGAGAGTGCGTGAGTGAGTGAGTGTGAAGGAAAGAGAGACGGTGGAACATTGATCGAGGCAGAGATAGATGGGGAGATAGGGAGAGAAGAACAGGCAGGCACATGGTTGTGTGTGTGCACACGCGCACGCATGTGGGCTGCCTGCTCTTCAAGCCACTGACAACGACATTGGATTAAATCCCCCACCGAATCGCCTGACGCGGCGTTCTGCTTCTCGGCGACGAGTTGATTGAGTGTTCGCTCGTACTCCAGCACAACCTCACTGCGAAGCCGCAGTGGTTCAAGCAGTGCATGTGTGTGTGTGTGTGCATGTGTGCATGTGTGTGTGTGCATGTGTTCATGTGTGTGTGTAAGATGGTTGTAGAGGTGAGTTGCTTCCCAAGGCCCCACATGTGAACAAACAACGGAAGCATTGTGAGCGACATATGTGCACACAACACATGTCCACACACAAGACGCGTGCACAGAGAACACATGTGCATTTATTGACGTGGTGCAAGAGCCGGCTTCACCTCATCTCCATATTGGACGCCTTTGCTTTCTTCAGCTGTTCCTGAAGATCCTCAATCTCCATCTGTAGAGGAAGAAATCAGTGTGTCGTGGGCATGTGCGTGTACGTGGGAGACTGTGAGTGCAGTGACACTGGTACCGTTGTTGTGGCCGTCATCAAGGCAAGGAGCACGTGTGCACATGCACGCGATCCCACGCGTACCTGTGCGAGGTTGAGATCCTCCTTGTATCGCTGCAGCAGCTCGTCATTCTGAGCTGACGCCTGATCACACACATACGCACGCAAACGCACACACACACGCGCGCGCGCATGCACACATGGATGTGGAGTTAGTACGAGCACGGTGTGTCAGTGTTGTGAGAGGAGTGCACTCAGTGATGCACACCCATGCACACGCTTTCACAGACTGAAGCCCCTCTCCTTCTAACAAATGTCATGCAAACACACACACACACACACACACGCACACGCACGCACAAACACACACCTGGGGCGCGTGTGTGGAAGCGGATCGCATGGCAGATGGCGGGGGCTTTGCCGGCGTTCCACTCGTCGCTATGGGAGACGAAGGAGTGGCCGTGGTCGTGGCGGGGACGCTGGTCGTGGTAGGAGTGGTGGTGGTTGTGGTGGATGACCCGCCTCCAAGGGACGTGCGAGGGGAGGAGCCACGTGAGAGCTGCGACAGCCGCTTCTTCGTCTCTTCAAGCGCACGCGCAGCGGGGGTGGTGGCTGACGACGATGACGATGATGTGGTGGCGACGGCGGTGGTGGTTGGCAATGGGGCTTTTGTGGTTGTCGTTGGTGTGCTCACCGTGTCCGCTGCGCGTGGTGTACCGACAGCGCTGCGAGGGAGCCCTGTCGACGTTGCGTGTGTTGTTGTCGTGGGTGTGGCCGTTGCTGGAGTGCGTGAGGACGATGGTGTGAACGACTGCCCGCTCGGTGTTGCTGGCTGCTGCCGTGTCGGTGTTCGCCCACTGTCACCTTGTGATGGCGACGACGACGACGACGACGCGCCCTGCGAAGCGACATTGCCGCGGGTAGGTGTGGCGTTGGAGGATGCTGATTGCTTGTCGGGTGTGCCCGAGAGCAGGTCCCACTGCTGCTGGCTGTACCCCGAGCCGAGTTGCAGTTCGTGCTCGATTGCCTCGCGCTCCATACCGCCACCACTGGGCACAACCTCCCTCTGCATGCGGGCGCGGGCGCGGGCAAAGTCGGGTGTCTGCAAATCCAAGAGCTTCGACTGACAGTGAGGGTAGTGTGTGTGTGTGTGTGATTGAGGGCGTGAATGAGAGTGTGAGTAGGTGTTTGCACGTGAGCGTGGTTGAGAGTGAGTGAGTGAGTGAGTGAGACAACGTGTGTGTGTGTGTGTGTGTGTGTCCAGGAGAGGCAGTGTTCAAACATGTGTTGTTTGTTGGGCAACAAGGCGAGGATGGAGCAACTTCAGGTGGAACAATTCTACCACGCAACACGCAAGTGCAGGTGCAGCACAATAAAATGCGCACACACGCACACAAACACACACACACGCACACAAACACACACACACAAACACACAAGCACACAAGCACACACACACACACACCGCAGGTTCACTGGCGGTCTGTTTCGGCGTCTGCGTCTCAGATCCAGGCTGCGATGAACGGGGTGGGCTATTGTGTTGTGCGTTGATTTGATTGGTGGAACGAACGGGCAAGGTGGCTGGCAGCATGAGTGGATGAGAAATTGCCCAACTCCACACCACAGCACAAGGGCGACCTTCACACGACATGTCATGTGACACAGCCCACCGCAAACACACACACAGCAGCCACATACGCACACAACAGCCACACACACACACGCACACATACACACACGTACACACACGCACACACGCACACACATGCACAGCAGCCACGCATGCTCATAATATACGTTGCAGAGACGAGGGGATCAAACTTCACGTAGAGGGACTGGCGAGCGAGGTCGGATGGGATGGAGCCTCCACGCGCTGCCATGTACGCGTCTGCAAGTGGCGTCGTGTTGTTTGTTTGTTGTTGGGCAGTGAGGCGGTTTGACTGTGAGCGTGTCCTGGAGGTGAGGCTGACGGGCATATGCGTGACCAGGTGTAATTGAGGAAGCGACGCGAGCTCATTCATCATGACGAGCCGTCCACTCACCGAGGTCACCCTGCGTCGTTGGCAGGTCCGCTGCTCCAAACTCCTCTACATGCAGTGCAAAAAGTTGAGTTGGAGTGTGAACAGTGCCCAGAAGAACCACACACACACACACACACACACACACACACACACACACACACACACACACACACACACACACACACACACACACACACAGAGGCGGAGGCGAGGGTACAACGCACGCGGCATCGAGGACAGCAAAAACAAACCCCCCCCCCAATTGGCGACCATTATGGCAACAACCGGCAAACACCAACACACAGCAGTCAGCAACAAGGAAGCGATGGAGGGGCTGCCGTACCGTGGTCTGCCATGACTGCTCACTCGCTTGCTGGCTGGCTGTGGGTTCCCTGGCGGCGTCTTATTGGCAGTTGTGGTGGTTGACGTTGTGAAAATTTCGCGAATTTTGCCACTGGCAAGTGGGTAAAATTGAGCTGCGTGTGGTAAAATAGTGGACGCGAGGAGTGGTGGGAATTATTGCCAATCGTCGTTCGCTCACACGCAGAGGAAGAAGACACACAAACGACCGCACCAGAGCCACAGCAAAGAGAGCAAGACAACCCGCCAAAACAGAGAACAGAAGAACCACAGCAAGCAAGTGCAGCACGGTGAGTGGAAGCAATGCGTTGCCCGCCTTGCTCTGGCATCTGTGTCGGCGTGTGGCCTGCCTGCCTTGCTGCTGCTGGCCGCTGTTGCTTGTTGTTGCGATTGATGGTAGTTGGTGGTGTTGCGCTGCGCCCCCGTTGTGTCCCTTGTGTCGTTTTATGGCCTGCTTCCCTTCGTTTGCGTGTCCTGTGCACGTGTGTCGATGGCACGCATGTACTGTTGTGTGTGAGCACACACTTGCACCCATGCACGTCGACATGGACATGTGGGCGACTACCATGCCTGTGCGATGCCCACCCTCGATTCGGGGTTAGATTGCGGAAGCCATCTCACGCGTGCGCCGCTCTCTGCTGCCCATCGGTGTGTGTTCGTTGTGGCCGTTCTCTTTTTGTTGGTGTTTTGCGCGTGGCTGTGAACATACAGATGAGCGCCCACAAGGAGGACAACACCAAAGCAGAGGCCGTTGCAGACGACGCCACAGCTGCTACCGCCGTGACAGAGCCGGAAGAGTCGACGCCCGAGACACCAGCCCAGCAGCAGCAGGAGTCGGCCGAGAGCAAGACCGAAGAGAAGAAGGATGATGATGCGGTTGAACCCGCCAATGACGAAGACGATGACGACGATGAGGAGGATGACGAAGAGGAAGAAGAGGAGGTTGATGAAGAAGCTGCACTCGCCCGTCTCCAACAGCGCATGGGTACGCCTGCGTGTTTCGGTGTATGTGTGTGCGTGTGTGTGTGTGTGTGCGTGTGTGTATGTGTGTGTAGCTTTGCGTTTGAGCACATGCCTGTGCACGGGTTCGTGGTCGTGAGCGAATGCACGTGCTTGTTTAGATGGATGTGCTGCAGAGCAGTGTGCCGTGTGTTGATGCCTGTTGCCTTCTTGGTGACCTTGTCGACCATGCCTGCGTGTGCTATTCCACAGGCGGCGAGACAGAGGCTGCGGCAGACGAGGATGCTGGCGCTGATGACAAAGAAGATGGTGTGAGCGATGCGGAGCCAGCAAGCAGCGGTGACGAAGACGATGATGAAGACGATGATGAGGATGAGGCGGCAAAGGCAGACAAGGAAAAGGAGGAGAAGGGCCGTCGCAAGGTATGAAGGTTCTTCCCAACCTTTCCTGCTTGCCATCCTTCACCTCCAACTGACAGTGAACCTTGAAGCAACACATGCACGTACCACACCTGCCCCCCTCCCTCTTGCCATTTTGCTGTCCACCGCGCGTTGTTGCATTCGCTCATGTTGACCAACCACATGTATGTTCATGTTCATGTGTGTACGTATAATGATGTGGATGTATGTATGTATGTATGTGTGTATGTGTATGTATGTATGTATGTTACTGCGTACCCTGCTGCCCCATGTGAACCGCAATACCAGAAGGATCCCCAGGTCATCCCGCGTGGGCGGTACTTCATGCACGACGACCGAACAGCGCCTGCACCGCGTGGTCGTGGTCGCGGCGGCGGCCGTGGTGGCCGCGGCGGCCGCGGTGGCCGAGGCGATGGGCGGGGCAAGCCGCAGCTCCACCCTGGCGCAGGAAAACACGAATCGGCGGGCCCACGTCAT